TTCGATCTATCATTATCATTACTACTCCGATATTTATTATTATTATTATTTAAAAATGAAAATGTCGTCCGGTTTTTATCGTTACTTTTTCGACATTTAATTTTAAATAAACGATCGTAGAGGAAGAGAGAGAGAGAGTGAGAGACCTTTTCATCGGTAAAAGAAGAAATCAAAAACCCTTTTCTCATATTTTATTCCAAAAAGAATTATTTAATACTCTCTTTCTATCTCACTCTCTCTCTCTCTCTATTTCTTTCTCTCAAGAGAGAAAATTTTTGGCCTTAATTAAAAAAGATAAGACAATGGGACTACTTGGAAAAGAAGGAGAAAAAGATGAAAGGCAGAAAGAACTGACAATGCAACGAATATAAAAAAAAAAAAAGGAAAAAAGGGTAGAAGGAAAGAGGAAAAGCCAAGAAAGGGATGATGATGATGATTTTACTTGAATGGCAAAAACCTTTTGATCAACCCCTCATTGATTTGACCATGTTATTACACAGGGGTGGCATATACACCCTAAACAATGGTTTTGCCTTTTCGTTTTACACCACCGCCACCGCCGACGTCACCGCTGCCACCACCATCACCGTCACCACCACCATCACCGTCACCACCACCACCACCGCCACCTCACAGTAAAAAATTTTTCACAGGAAGGATTCTTCGATTTATGATAAATAAACGTAAGTAAAGACTTTTATATTTTTTGACTTTGAAATAAAAATAAATAAATAAATAAATAAAAATAACAATAATAATAATAATAATAATAATAATAATGGATTTTCGATTATCGATTTATAAAAAATTGATTTTTTTTATTCTCGAACATTCTAAATAATAATAATATTTTTTTGAGGTTGATTTCAATGTCGTTTCATTAAAAAAAAAATTGTTATTATTCGAACCGTTTTTTTTCTTACAGAATAATTTAAATTTTAAATAATAATAATAATAATGAAAAGGATAAAACGCTTCTTGTTTATCAACATCATCATTATTATTATTAGTAATATTTTTTTTTTACAGAAAATAAAAATTAAAAATATAAATCAAAATAATTACGTAACTTTCAAAAAAAAAAAAAATTGAATTATTTTCCCATTATAACTTTGAAACCAAATATTAATAATAATAATAATTTTAAAAAGGTATTAAAAAAAAAATCCTTGAAAAAAATTTACATTTTTTCTATTATTATTATTAGTAGTCTTTTTTTTTAATTAAAATCTCAATGATGCAAAAAAAAAAAAAAAATTTTTTCAACGAGAATTATTCTCGAATATTTTTATTAAAAATTCGTTTCCGGTTTATCGGATTTGCGTACTATTGTGTACGATTAAAAACCGGATGTAGTAAGAGGTGAGAAACCACCGGATGTGATCATAAGGAAATTTTTAATACCGACGGAAAGAAACAAAATGTGTAGGAGTTTTGATATCGAAATCGGCAGGATGTAGGAAGTGAGAGAGGGAAATGATTCTAATCGTCGTCGTGGAAGTAGTGAGTGTCGTGCCACGTTTTTTTCCGAAAGATTCAGATCGTTTTAATTACCACCACACCGTCATTGACATTTACAGGATTTATATCAAATGAATCGTTTGATTTAATATGAAAAGTTTGAAAAAAAATTTTCCGTATTAAAACTTGTTGTGATGATTAAAAGTGATGATAATAATAATAAACCGGAATGAAAATCTCATACGAAGGAGAAGATGAGGAAGAAGAAAGGAATAGAAAGAAGAAGGAGGAGGTGGAGGAGGAGGAAGAAGATTCGTAAAAAGAAGGTAAAATTTTTTTTTTTTTTTTTGTTGAAAAAGATCAAATTAAATTTGATGTAATGAGTCAGAAATCTGATTAGTCTTCCAATCGAAAGGTCACATCAAGGTTTTCTTTTTTTTTTTTCATCGGAAAATCCACATGATTTCCTGATTGCTTTTTCCCTCTCTCTCTCTCTCTCTCTCTTTCTTTCTCTCTCTCACTCTATTTCCAATACCAATTTTTTCAATTCTTGAAAATATATATTTTTTTTTTATTTCCCCGTCTTAAATCTTATTTTCCACCAATAATAAAATAATAAAAGAAAAACGGCGCTAAAAATTTTTAATACTTACCTTACGGACGAAAAGTGATAAGACAAACATAAAAAGGGATGTAAAATTTTCCCGGGGGGAGGGAGGGTGAGGGGATATTAAAAAAGGGGGTAAAGCGGTGGTGCATTTTCCTTTTTTTTTTAATTTTTAATTAACTTGCATTATCTTAACGAGAACCTTTTGTCAGCTGAGCTTTTTTCTTTTCATCTTAACCGCAGCTTTTATCTGTTATCACAATTATTTACTTAATGGTTTTGGGTTTTAAAAACACGCGCGCAAACGCGCACACGTGCACCCCAATTCCCACCTTTAAATTTTAATTATTTTTTTTTGTTTTTAATTCACCACCCTCCGAACGAATTAAATAATAATAATAATAATGATTAAAAATTATTTCGAAATGAATTTTACGCGAAACAAATTATTTCTATATATTTCTAATCTGTACGATTTTAATAATAATAATAATAATAATAAATGAATATTTAAAAATGATTAGAAAAATGTATGTTTCGTGGTTGTAGTTGTCTGGAAGGAAGCAACAGGAGTCGAAAATTATAACGTCAATAATAACATGATGTGCACATGCTGCGCTGTTGGAACCCCCCCAAGCACTATTATTAAACTACCACCTTTTGTTTCCTCCATCACCATTATTATTATCATCATCCCTCGACTTTTTGAAACCCGTAATTGAAATCTATTCCACGCACTTGTTTTATTTAATTTTTTTTTTTTTTGTCATTCTCGCTAAAATTTTTCAATCGCTATATAACGATTATTTTGATTTTTTCGGGTAGGAAACAAAAAAAATTTTTTTTTTTTTGGACATACGGTCGTGCCTTAAGGGTAGAGGGTGTAAAAATTCATATTCGGTCACTCAGGGTTTCCTTGTCAAGAATATGCGGGAAATGATGAATGATAGTTTTTACGATTCTCAAGTGGTGTAACTTCATTACGATCCCATTCAAAAATATCAATTTTTAATTTTTTTTTTTCACGCTTTATACATAATAATTTAATATTTAAAAAAAAAAAAAGTTTGCACGCACACACGCACACGCATATGCACACAAAAGGAATCACCGGATTCGGAAATCGGAAAAGAAACAAAGATGGAATAAGAATAATTTACCATTAAAAAT